AGATCTGACTCAATATTTAGAGTTTTTATGCAATCTTTCAAAGACAGCAAGACCACATCTCTCATTGAGAACAGCTTCATTCAAGAAACGAAAATCTCTCAGCCGGGGAAGAAATCTCATTGGAGATCAGTAATGAAATTGCGAGGATCAAACTAAATGCATTAGTATGAGCACAGTTCTTTAATGAATAAACCAGAAGCCCAATGAACCAAATACTCACCTTCGAAACAATTGATACCACTCCAGCCTTCAGCACATCGTGCATTTGAGCAGAAACCAGTTGAGAAATCGCATGGTATGTTATTTGCACAATGACAGTCATTATGGCAACTGAATCCCCATTTACCAGCCGCACATTCTGCAGTGAAATATATGATTTCTTGAGAATTTCTTTCCAGATTTCTATCATCCATTGGGGAGGGGAGGAGAGTTCGCAAGATGATGAACAGATTCAGGTAGTGAATATAAATGAGAAAATTTCAATTGATGATACCTTTTTGACAAAGTGGTGGATTCAGGGTGCCAGCAGGACATCTCACTGGTTCTTTTTGATCAACTCGGAACATCCATTTGCCTTTCTCACCAATATTTGAACTGTTCATCAACAACTCAAAAGGCAACTCAAAGAATTCGCCTCCTGATGAGAAACCACTAACTGCGTTATCACATTCGACCTCCTCGTAGAGATACGTTAAGAAGGTGGCATTCATGCCTTGAGCTATTACCACTTGGAATGTATTCAACTGAAATGATGATCAATGACGTTATGCGAATTCAATTGCAACTGTGAGGAAGTTTGCATGTTAACTAGATTTTGAGAAAACTTCAATATTCTAATGGTGATGTGAGCAATTGAATAATGGATTAATTTATTGCACTGGATAACGTGATTGAGTGCTGTGAAGGTTTCAAATGAAAAGGTAGTTTTTTGAATGAGGATAGATGAATGAGATTTGGAGAATGAATACGAGATAACGAAATTCAAATGTAGATCGCATGATATGTAAATGAGTGCAACATTGAATGTGAAAGTGACACTGTATGAAAGAGACAGATACCTGATCAGTTTCGAATTGAATCAATTTATCGAACGATATGATGATCAGAGAACGTGTCCTGAATTCGCGTTCATGGAACCTGTCTTGAACCATCAGCGAAGATCGTGTCAAAAGTGCGTAGTTGAGTGCATCATCCTCTGTAATTGCAACGATCTTATTTGCGAGGAAGCGTTGATGAAAACCACGACACGATAATATCACTGATGAATCTTATCACAACAACGCTTATGATAATAACAATCGAACAATCAACCACTTACCATTGATAACTTTCACGAAAATGTTGCCACCTCGTTGAAGATCGTATTGTTGATAGAGTGGAACAAATGCGGGAAATTCAGGCGGATCCTTGCTGAGAAGCTTTAACGGTGAACCGAAACTTACGGCACCATTCGAGATTATCTATCATTATATATTCATTACTCTGATGGACTAGCAAAATGGTGAATATAGACAACTATTGCAACATTTCGGTGTATTGTTGTCAAAATTTATGTTGAGACTGTTCGAAATACCAATAGGACAACTCAATCCTGACAAGGAATATACATATAATGCCTTCTCTGACTACGCTTGATGACCACAGCAAATCATTACGCATTATTGACCTAATCGAGGTGCAGGCGAATCACTGATACGGTCATTGAATGAATTATAAATTAAATTTCTCGTAGAAGTTCATTTTATGAGCATATACTACATTATTGAATCAATCGTGCATTATTGTGTTATACATTAAGAGCATAAATGGATGACTTACAAAGAGATTCCTGTACAGGTTTCCGAACAATGCAATCGGTATTTGCAGTTCAAGTTCACCGAGTGAGTTCATAACGGACTGAAGAACCAGATTTGGATTTTCAATCGGATACATAATCGTTTCTGGAAAAAAAGGCGTTTGTAATTTTCATTTACTTTTTGGAGATCAATAGTTTATTCTTGTAGGTCATTCATTCATTTTCGTCTAAAGATCACAATGTCCTTATGGCTAGAAATATTTTCACAGTTGAGACGGCAACGTTTATTCATCGAGATTCGTGAATATGAGGAGCTCTAAAGTTTTCTTCAGCAGCAATATCCGCATGGANGTAGAAGTTCATTTTAAGAGCATATACTACATTATTGAATCACTTCAATCAATCGTGCACTATTGTGTTATACATTAAGAGCATAAATGGATGACTTACAAAGAGATTCCTGTACAGGTTTCCGAACAATGCAATCGGTATTTGCAGTTCAAGTTCACCGAGTGAGTTCATAACGGACTGAAGAACCAGATTTGGATTTTCAATCGGATACATAATCGTTTCTGGAAAAAA